ACCTAAAACAAGGATTCAGAGAGATTAGAAATAAAAGGATAGACAGAAATGAGATAGTTGCAACTAAAAATAAAGGGGTTATATAGTTGCCTGCGAAAGAGTTCAGACCCCGAAAACTTAAAATGACACAGGATGATATAGAACACTGGAGACCATGGTTCTCCATGAGGATAAACCACCATCAGCTACACAGCCCCAAATACTGCATGGTAAGAGACTTGCTCGCACCTCTCAGTCCAAAATAGGAAGTATTTTGCTTGCTTTTGAATATATCACCAGAAATAACAAAAACAGCATGTGTCACCACAATGGAATGTAAACAATAACAAAAGTGGGCCCCTTTCACCTGGAAGGTTAAAAACATGCTGTTATCATATGTCTCTGGCCTAGTGGCAAATAAATTGGCTGTCGCTCAAGTTACAGTATTTCAGAGTAATACTAACACGCGCATCATTTATCAGTGTGAGACATAAGTTTGTGTATCAGCTTTTGAGAAATAAAAATTGAGTATATTTTCCTATGCAAACAGCTTTTACAACTCAATAGTAAGACATCCCAACTGATAAAAACAGGCGAAGGATTTGAATAGACCTTTTCCCAGAAAAGATATACAAATGGCCAGCAGCCACTGAAAAGGTGCTCAGCATCATTAGGGAAGTGAACACCAAAACCACAATGAGATACCACCTTCATATCCACTAAGATGATTAAAATAAAAAAAGATGGAAGATGGCAAGGATGTGCCAGATAACAAACGCCACGTTATGATTGTTTTTGTAAGAAATGTCCATAATAGGCAAATCCATAGAGACAGAGAATAATTAGTAGTCACTGGGGGAGAGGAGTGATGAAAATGTGAAATTAGATAGTGGTGATGGTTGCATAATTGTGAATTACACTAAGAATCCCTGAATTGTATATATTTAAAAGGGTGGATTTTATGGTATGTGGATTATATCTCAAAAACAAAAGATGGTAACAGTATCTGCAGAAAGCATCTATGTCCTCTTGGACTCAGAGGGAATAAGTTGAGGTTATTAAAACCTCATACTGTCTCTCATAACTCTGGCTTCTAAAGAGGAAGAACTACCCAGCTGGTGCCCTTCTCTCTAAAGGGAAGAAAGCAAGACAGATTTGAGCAGTACCTACAATGAAGCAAAGAAAAAAATTTGTAGAGTATACCCCTACCAGATAAAGGTCCACAACCAGGCACAACACTGATAGGTGCCTTCACCCTTCTTTTGTCTCCTTCTAGATGAATCTTCTTATAGAATTTTAACAAGGAGCCAATGGGGGCAATCAGCATTTAGTAAGTTAAATCAGCAAGGACTCAATAATACAGCCTTCACGTGGTATGTGTGCCTCTGTGTGTAAACAAAAAGCAGTTAAAAGGTATGATGGAAGACTTAATTGACAAAAACAAATCAAAACATTGGATATTAGAAATAGGCATAGAACTAGGCGAACTAGCATGAAGAAAACCATAAAACATCCCTGTGATGGAAAGCTACATTGGAAAACATGGAAAGCTCATTAGTATACCAATGTAGGAAGATTCATCGTCAGCAGGATGTCACTATTAGGCTTTTTCCAAGAAATACATAGCAGGTGACTAGTAGGTTCCAATTGCAAAGAATACATAACAATGAGCCCTATCAGATATTAGAACATGTTATAAAGTCTCTGTAAAGAACACACTATGGTATCAGCACATGAATAGACAGACTAATGGAAAAGAATCTTTTTAAATCCAGAAGTTTAGTGAATGATAAAAATGAAATTGTAAATCAGTGGGAAAAATAAAGAATTTAAACAAGTGGTATTCTGACAGCTAGTCATATGGAAAGGATAAAACTAGCTCAATCTGTCATACTACACATTAAGTTAATTCCAGATGAATCAGATATATATTAAATGAAACCTTTACAGGTCCTTTTACAGAAGAAAATGAAGGTACTTGAACCCTTGATAACCTGGGAATAGGACTATTTCCTAACCTGGATTCAAAAGTCAAAAGAAGTATAAAAATGTAAATCTTTATTTCATCTACAGAATATGAACACTTCAAGAAAAATATCAATCCCTGTCAAACTCGTCCAAATGACAGAAGAGAGAACACTTACAAACTCATTTTATGAGCCAGCATTACCCTGATAACAAAACCAGATGAGAACACACAAGAAAAGGAAATTTCAGGTCAATATCCTTGATAACCATAGGTGCAAAAATCCTCAACAAAATATCAGCAAGCCAAATTAAACCATACATTAAAAGAATCATACACCATGATCAAGTGGATTTATTCTAGGGATGCAAGAATTATTCAGCATCTGTGAATCAATGTGATGCATCACATTAAGGAAATGAAGGATAAAAATCATATGAACATCTCAATAGATGCAGAAAAGTATCTCCCAAATTTAATATCCATTTATGATAAAAACTTTAAAGTAGGCATAGAGAGCCATTACCTTAAAATCATAAAGGTTATATATGACACACCCATAGCTCACCTCATACTCGATAGTAAAATGCTGAAATGGCTTCCTTTAAAGATGTAGGACAAGGATGCAGACCCTCACCACTTTTATTCAACACAGTATTGGAAGTCCTTGCCCATGCATTTAGTCAAGAAAAAGAAAAGGCATCCAAATTGGAAAAGAAGTAAAACTTGAAGATGACATACATAGAAAACCCTAAAGAGTTCACAAAAAAACTATTTTAACTAATCAACCAATTCAATAAAGTTAGTTACTATGTAAAAATCAGCTGTGTTTCTGTATACTAGTAACAAGCAATTAGAGAAATTAAGAAAACAATCCTATTTGCAACTGCATCAAAAAGAATGAAATACCTAAGAATTTAACTCAGGAAGTAAGAGATCTACACACTGAAAACTACAAGACATTAAGGTAACTGAAGACACAAATAAATGGAAAAACACTCTGTGCTCATGGATAGTGTCATTAAACTGTCCATACTACCTAAGCAGTCTACAAATTCGTGCAATCTCTGACAAAGTTGCAATGGTATTTTTCACAGAAATAGAACAATTTTAAAATGTGTATGAAACAATAAATGACTCCAAATGACCAAAGCAATCTTGAGAAACAAGAACACAAATAATTATTATGTTGCATACCTGAAGCTTGTCAGTTATATCTCAAAAATAAATCTGAAATTAAGAAAGAGCAACCTAATAGAAAAAATAGTAAAAAAATATGGTCAGTTCACAGGAAAAAGAAAAGCAAATAGTTCTTAAACAGATGAAAAAAATGTTCTAGCTCCCTTAAAATACCCACTAGAAACTGGTAAAAACTCAGTTTGACAACATAGTCTCTTGGCTGGGCTTTGGGGAAGATTCAGGAACTCTGATCAGTGTTGCTAGTGGGGGGAAAATGGTAGAATTCCTATGAAAGTATGAGCATTTCTAGCTAAATTATATAAATTTACTCTTCAGTGCAGCAAATTCTACTGCTAGAATTCCCTTCCAAATGGTAAGACTGTTCATTGCAGCACTATTTGTAAAAGGCACTGGAAATAACCCAGATGTTCATTAATACATCCATACAGGGATGTGGGGGAATAAAAAAGCCAATCAGGTATAGAATAGTATGGAGCATGCTAACTTTTATGTAAGAATATAGAGGAATAAGAGTATGTGTAAGAATATATGTATGTGTGTGGACACACACATTTGCTTATATTTTCAAAAGGAAAAGGTAAACAATAACTTACCTGGTTACCTGCATGGGAAGAGAGATTACATGGGTTGGAGAGATACAGACTCTTCTTGATGTGACTTGTTCTTACAGTTTTACTTTGAAGACACTTAAATATTAAGAATACATCATGAAAAGCAAACCAGTCTCTAATTATTGGGAGGATAAAAAGAAGTAAATGAACCACATTATCTGTCCAGTAACATAATCAGAAAAGAAGTTTTTCAAGTGATTCTCAAACACAGTTTCAGTTAGACAGCCCTAGTGGATCAATTGGGGCTTCCCTTGTGGCTCAGTGGTAAAGAATTGACCTGCCAGTGCAGGAGACATGGGTTTGATTCCTGATCCAGGAAGATCCCCTGGAGCAGGGATAGCCTACCCACTCCAGTATTCTTGCCTGGAGAATCCCATGGACTGAGTGAGGAGTTTGGGACGGGTGGGTACAGTCTATGGGGTTACAAAAAGAGTCGGACACAACTTAGTGACTAAACAAGTCAATCTATCATGGTGACAGAAAGAAATCTTCAAAATCCTTAACAGTCTTTTGTTAGTAACACATTGGCATTGTTAGTTTGCAACAGTTGTATGCATTGCAGATTAAAACAAATAGGTTACTGTGTAAATGTAATTAGGAACTAAGATTTTCAGTTTGAAATAGCTACAAGTATAAAAATACTGACACAAAACCTTCAACCTTTACATGTACAAATAAGTTTGTAAGGACTTGATATTAAAATCCTTAGCCAGTGGATCTTTTTTTCCTTTTGGCAGTGTAAATGCCTTTATTATCAAGTCCATAGTAGGGTGCACTCTATAATCTCTTGCTATCTTGTTTCCCTGACTTTTCAATGTGTTGGAAAGTTAGGCTGAGTCTTCCCTAAAACTCTTTGCTCCCATCTGTAGCCGCATCAACTGATACACAGAACTGCTGGCAACAGCTGGACCTTGTCGCTTTACCACCACTCTCCTCTCTTCTACCTGATTCATTTCCTTTCTACGTTGGTGCTACATCTGAATTTTTAACAGAAGTTCCCTTTTCCAGTTTTTTTTTTTTTTTTGACACTGTTCAAGGTAATTTGTGCAATCTTAATATATCTTAATGGTAGAATTTAGGATGTCACTGCAGAAATATTTTGGGAGCAGTGGTGCAAGACAAGAATACCACTTAAATCATGGTAAAGGCCTTGGCAGTGCAATTTTTAAAACCATTTTAGTGATCCTAACTTCCCTTTCCTACATTGCAAATAATTTGTGTATGTGGCTTTTTTTTTTTTTTAGATGGCTACTCATATGAAAAGGAAGCAATGGAAAATTGGATCAGCAAAAAGAAACGTACCAGTCCCATGACAAATCTTGTTCTTTCTTCAGTGATACTTATACCAAATAGGACTCTGAAAATGGCCATTGATCGATGGCTAAGCGAGACACATCAAAAATAAAACTCTCTATATTGTGTTATTTATATTTTCTGTGATCTCACTTGAGTGATTTAAAGGTAAACTTTGTAAATTTAATTACCTATTAAAAAGCCTTTTCATATAATAGTGAATAAAGTCTTAACCTATAGAGAAAGTTTTACTTTGACTTCAAATTGCAATGCTCAAGTTTATTCTTATTATAGATCATATCCCATTATAACCAAAGATCAGAATAACCTAGACTGGAACATAATTAAATCCTAGTTAATAACATTTTATTTGATAACTCTCTGGAATCCTTCTAAAGAGATTTTAGCAAAATAATTGTAGATTTGTTTATGAATAAATTGAGAAAATCACTTTGATATATATACTGAGCAGTTTTTTTAGCTTCTGAGTTTGCAAGGTAGTAATGATCCCCCCCCCCCCCCCCCCCCCGTCCAAACCTAGGTACAAATTAGATCGCATAAATTATCACAGATGCATTAAGTTGACGTTGCTGAAACATATAAAGTGGCAAACTAGCCTCCTTTTAGGATATAGACTTCTTAAAAAGTTCTCACATCATAGTTTAAGCTAAGGTGACCATACGTTTGTACACAATAGGCTGATAGCTAATACAAGCACCCTGACGAACATTTACTCAGAAGACTTCAGATTCTGTAAGTGAAGGTTGTACTGCCTCTCATAAGTTGTTCACCAGAATGGAAGCCATTAGTGCAAAGCTTGCTAAAACTAAATCAACTCTAAGGGCAGGAGGGACCAGGACTTTGTACTTACCCCCAAACCCTCATTGTAATTGTTCTGAAATTTGAAAACACAAATAAAAAAGCAATGTAAGTATATATTCCATCAAAAGACTTGTTAAAACTGGTAGTGCTCTCACCATTGGACCAGGTATCTTGTGTTTTGATAAAATAATACTTATTTCTCAAAAGGGCTAGCTGGTTTTCACATAAAAATTACTAGAAATCATTGGTGTCACTGACAGAAAACAATAAAAGATGTTATTTTTTAAATGTTTTAAAGAAGGTGATTTTCTTTTCCTACGTTTCACCAGGATAGTTTCTAGTTAAGTGGCTGAAAACTAAGATGCCAGTTTACCAAAGTGAAGTGTTCTGTTTTTCTATACAAATAAACCAAAGCTAACTACTCTTCCCCACAAAGCAGAGGCAAACAAAAAATCAAATCCAAAACCATCCATAGGAAAGGACACCACACGGCCCCTCTGCACTAGGGGCCACTGTCCCTGCAGGACTAGGCAGGAGCAGCCCCACCCACCCCCGCTGCTTGGTCCTCAGCTCTGACCAACAGCTTCCCAAGGAGACAGCACTTCCTGGAATTATGGGACCAAAGACATTTACTCAGAATCCATCAAAATCACAAAGTATAGTAAATTCTAATAGTCACACTGGCAGCATCACAGGAAAAGTCATCCAATAAGAATTTTCTGTTACTAGATCTTCCCCCTCCTACCCAGTTTTGGTTTTTTACCTTGAGTTTAAATAGATGACTTTAAATAAGGACTGAAAATACTTTACCTTAAGCCTTGCTAATAATAGCAGTAACCATACAATAACCTGAAGTTGTTTAGGCTTAAGATTCCAAGTCAGGATATTTTAACACAACAGTTTAATGTTCACGCTCATTCATATGACTTTGAAACCGAAATATGTGGGTATAAACACTTTTAACTCAGAGAGTGATACACATGTGAAGAACAAAATTTCACATTAGCACAGTGTTCAGTGTATTGCCAAAGTAAGAGCTAAAAACTGAAGATACCATGTTGCCAATAAAAACCAGATGCCAGGATTTCTGGGACAGACGTTTAGAAGGCTCCTCATGCATTCTCCTCATTTCAGACAAAAAGACTAATTTTGACCTTGAAATATTTTGGGATTTCTAGACGCCATTATCCTTGTTCTAAAATTAAACATGCTTTTGTAGTATTCCTTCAAATCAGGCTTTTCCCCTTTTTAGGGACACGATCACCCAGGCTTAAAGTGAGGCAGATAGCTGACATCAGGATCTTCTCTACTTAGCCACTGTTTGATTTAATGCAAAACAAACTATTAATTGTCTTTATTCCAGACAGACAAGTACAGTAGTTGTGCAGAAACAAAACTACATAACGAAAGAGTAAGACTTCCACAACATTAAAGAAAACAATAAACAATAAATAAGCCATAATAGTTATTTAGCAGAACCTCATGAAAAGCCTCTTTAAAAAAAAAAAATCAATAAAACTATACAGGGTACACTGTACACAGGAACTAATGTTGAAGAATGACACCAGAAGATTCCTATTCGTACAAGACCATGATGATGCTTACAGGAACTTCATTACAACTCTTCATTTTTAAAACATTCTGTAAATATAGAACTTCCTTCTCTCCAATTCTAGAAAATAATTTCACATCCCAACATATAAAATGAACACACTCCCACCTCTCTGAAAACTAGCATTTTAACATCCTCCAATAGCATATCATTTTCATACAAAAATACCTTTAACTCAAGGATCATTCCTGTACCTTATCTTTACAAATGAATAATACATCAGTTTGGACTTAAGTAGCACCTCAGAGGTGTTCATATAAATGAGATAAAGTGCCATTACTTGGATACTGTTAACATGCCCTATATATCGCTCAGTGCAATAAACAGCATGGATGAAGCTTAAAAAGCACATGCAAATATATGACTTCCAGATTAACTACTTGAAATAGTTATATTTACAAGTCTGAATACAACTTTAGCTATTTCATATATACAACATATAGCTCTAAAGTAATGACTGTATAATAAAACAAAAGCAACAGCCAACCATACCTTAAGTATCCAAATTAAATAATGTCCTTAGAGGACCTTGGAAGGCTTGTTCCAGGAGTGCTGTCATTGATAAAAGCAGTTTGGGGATCAGTTGAGAGCTAATTTACATGTCACCAAGAATGCTGAATAAGAATACAGAACACTACTACTAAAACTTAGTGTTTCAGCCCAAATTCAACTTAACTACCAATCATGATTCCAAATGGTTTATATCATTTTCAAATATTAAAAATATATTGAAGCAGGAATGTAGTTCCAAAAGAAGGTGCTATAAAAATATTTTAATGAGAACTGTAACACAGAAATAAAAGTTGATCTTTTTAAAGGGAACTGCTATGAAGAGAACATTACCTGGATGTTCTTGTATTTTGCTTAAAAAACAAACCAGCTGTATAATATGTAAAGTCACATTTATATTCAGATCGAAATTACTCAGGTCTTTTATATACATATATACACACACACACACACTGACCCTTGAACAACAGGGGTTTGAACTGTACAGGTCCACTTTTTTTTTCAATCAGTACGTACTATAGTACTACATGATCCACGGATGGTTGAATACAAGGATGTGGAACCCTCCAGAGGACCAACTGTAAAAGTTATACATGGATTTTTGACTGTATAGAGGTTGGTGCCCGTAACTCCTGCATTGTTCAAGAGTCAACCATATGTATACATACATATGTATATCAAGATTTGACTTATTGGAACTGTAACTTGAAAATTTCCTCTTTTCCAGAACATATCACCTGGATATTATGTCATGAATTAAACTATTATTACTAGATATTTACATTATCTAAGAAATAATGTGATCTTAACTACATAGCAAATGCTAGGAGAAAAGTGATAAAAACCAAACAATTTCGTAAGAAAAGCATGAGTTAATGTCTTCCTGGCTGTCTTTTAACTTAATAGGCATAGCTAGTTGCAGTTTTCCAATTCTGGTTAGCATTCTTATTTCTGGTGACTTCTATTTACTAAACAAATTTAATCCGACACTTTCAGTTTATCAATGGCATCTGATCCACTCCAGAGGGGAAAAAATATATAGCTAAAAAGTAATTTTTCTCATGTACAACCATTTAATTGTTACCAGGCACCAACACACTGTCTTCCAAATACTACAAATGGGTCTCTCTTAAGGCTCACACATTTGATTCTATGAATGATCGCTTTGGTTTTGCTGAAGGGAGGTGACTCCTGTGGGCTTCATTGCTGATATGAGACTGCTGTTTAGACATACTTTCCTGATATAGATGTGAAATGGTCTTAGTTACTCTGCTGTCCTGACAGTGGACTGGCATTTGGCACTTCTTTTCTTCTAGCTCCTTCACCTGGGCCCCATTGTGGACACCACCACCCAGGGTAGACCCAGGGCAGGCTTTGGCTTGCTTGAGAGAGGGCTTCTCAGAGTTCAAGGCCTGCAGGCCAGCTGCAGAAGGTGCGCTTGTCAGCAGCCCCTCTGGCACCGCACAGTGCCAGGTGCGGCCAGGAGGATGGTTCTGCTGCTGGAACCTCGCGGTCTTATCCATGATGCCCATGAATGGAGTATTGCGAGGTCTGTGCTCAGCTGTGCCACTCGGAACCTGGCTACCAACCTTGTCTTTAATTCGAGCATCTGGTCCTTGGACTTTGAAGCCATCCGAGAAACTGCTGCTTGAAGCCAAACTACTGGTGGAGCTTGACATCTTGATGCTGCTCGACGGAGAACCGGAAGAGCCTGAGCTACTGAGGGAAGTCGGGTGTCGGGTGTCGCCGCAGCTCACTGGCCCCCCTGGGTTTACAGGGACCACGTCCACAGCCATGGCAGCATGAGACAGAAGCCTCTCTGCAGTTTTTATCTTGCTTGGTAAAGGATACGCAGCGTCGCCCTCACTGTGCGGCAGGTGGACTGCGGGGCTGGGCCCCAGCCGATCGCCGAAGGGGCCAGAGGCTGCTCCCTCCAGATGCAGGCTTCTGCTACCGGCGGGGGCAGCGGGCAGTCTTCCGGGCATGGGGCTCGGGGGAGGATTCAGCGGAGAGACCTGCGTCTTCGAGCTGCCGTTTCTCACGCCCGCGGGTCCGGAGCCCAGATGCTGGCTGGTCTTCACGATCTGCGCCTGCTTGGTGGGCTGCACCGTCAGCCCCGGCTGGGCCACCGCCTCCCTCAGGGTCTTGCCGGGCCCCGGCCGACTCTGCAGCGGCGACACGGGCCTTATCTTGGGCTGGAGCCCTTCCTGAAGGTTTCGGATGTACGCGGAGGGCGCAGACGAGGATGGCGGGGGCCTGGGAGCGAGGGAAACGGCTTCTTCCAGCGGCGACGTCTCCTCCTCTTCAGCCTCCTCAAGGTGAAAGTGGTCGTTCAGGCCGGGCGTCGGGGCGTCCTCGTCGTTGTCCGAGTCGGTGGGTGGGGCAGGCGCGGGGGCCTGCTGCTTCTGCTGCTGGCTCCGCGGGAGCTGCTTACACTCCTCCTCCACGCGGGCCAGGAGCCGCCTGATCTCCTGGTTGGCGGGACAGAGCTTCACTGCTTCCCGCAAGTCAGCCAGGGCAGCCACGAACTGCCTTTATTTTAAAAGATATTACAAGTCACGTAAGAAAGAACTCTGAATGCAACTGTTCATAAAGCAGCTTTGCTTTAAAAGAAAAGGTAGCTGAGTGAGTTCTGTGTAGGTTTTGTGTGGACAAGACCCATGGAACTAGCTTAGACTCACTCAGCTAAGTGGGAGCACCAGATTCTAACCCAGACCCGTGCAATCCCAGGGCCCCAGCGTCTCTACAAAGACCAGATGGTGGGGGTGAGCTCAGCAGGGGGGTTAGAATCCTCTTCACATCAGCTCCCCCGCCCCACCCCAAGCAACTCAAGTCCTTCTGACTCCGCCCCTGTCCTACTGACTCCGCCCCCGTCCTACTGACTCCGCCCCCTCCCCACTGCCTCCTCTCCGTGCCTCTGGCTGGCTGTCTCACTGGTAACGCGGACTAAGCTAGGAACTTGATGTTGCAGTACAGGTCAGCTGGCGGAGGGGAGGGACAGTTAAGAGATGTCTAGAGAAAGTAAAAGTTTAGCCATTGCTAATTATTTCCACTGCTGTGCGTTCTGGAAGACACCTACTCAGTATGAAAAAGGAGGAGAGGCATTGAGTGGTGCTCATGGATCAGAAGCCCCCAAGCTTTGAGGCCAGAGCAAGACAAGAAGGCT